CGGACAACTGGCGCTACCACAATCGCCTAAAGCCTATTCATAGGCTGGATTCTAACTAATCATCCAGATCGTCCCAGTCGCCTCTCAAAACGCAAAACGTCTAGGCGATTTGAACGATTTTGTGAAACTCTGAGAGCCGTGAATTTTTGTTTTGATAAAACACGTAAGAAGGAGATTACTAATTCCTTAAGACGATAGCAACAACAACGACAACTTTATATTTCGCAGTACCATTTACATCTATATATAGGTGGTGTTGCATGAAAAAATACAAAAATAAAAAATATATCTATATATATATATATATATAGTAAAATAAGATAGATAATAAAGAAATGATCATAATGAAAAGCGGAAAATCATCAGGAACAATAATTTATGAACTCGTCTATTGTTCGGTTTGCCGAGGAAAGGTCTGTAGAAAATGTATTCTAAATACGGGCAGAATTAGATGGAAAAGGCAATTGTCTTAGCTGTCAGGGTCAATCCCTTTAATTAATAATGAATTACGAACAGCCGTTTGCTCTTTTCAGATAATTAAAAAGTGTCGCCATCGGGTACGGTTGGTACTTGCAGGGAGTTGTTGGAATGGCTGTTTTTTCGCTAAGGTTAACTTTGGGAGAGAGGAAAACTCAATTTCATGTAGGAGTTGTCGTAAGAGAGACGTTTGCACGTTTCGTCATAGAAAGATGAAAATTTTGAATTCCATAATATTTCCTGAAGCCTTTTGTGTGTAAATGTGTGTGTTATGTGTTTCTTTTAGTGAACGGTATGTTTTCTAATCGACAGAGAAAAATGCACTTGCACGGAATGGAAAATTTTAACTGTTTGTTGCTTTGTACCGACGGGAGATATTTTACGAAACCAAACTTATGCTCTTCTAGAAGGGAGAATATTATGCATGCTACATTTACTCTTCTAAACGTTGGCAAGTTCAGCCGGTATTAAAATTAATTAAACAAAAGAAGCAAAACAAAAAAACAAAAACAAACAAACAAAAAATAGTGAATATTTGAATAAAGATATTTTAAAACTGTGAGAAATCACTCACTATAATTTAGGCTGCAATTGTTCGACAGCTTAGCCTGTTTATCAGCCAGAGCTTGCTAACATCCATTTTGTTAAACTATAAAGGGCGCTTTCCAAAAGTCAGAACTGGCCGGCTGGATCATTACCTGACCAAACATTTTGGCAATAAAATAGGCTTTTTCCAAGAGGTTTCGCTGCACAACCATCTCCTTTATGCATAATATTTAGGATTTGACTGATCTGAATTGTTAGTTTCGCTTAAACATGAAATCGTCATTACGATGGGATTGGGCTGGCCAGTCAGTTCTGACAAATGGAAAGCGCCTTGGGACTTTGTCAGACTTCGCAATTTCAATTAATAACGTTGTCCGTGTTAACGATTACATAATATGTAAAGGATATCTGATTCCTAGAATCATGAGAAGGTGTTTGTCAGCTCGAGAACGCTTTATGCATGGCTTATGTCCAGAAACAACAAACCCTTTGAATTTGAATACATGTATGTAATCAGATCAGAGGCTATTTTTTAAGCCAGGATTTTTCTAGAGGTACGCGCAATCAGTTCCACATCCTCCTTTCCCCAATTACTTCAAAATCATAGATTTTGCGGGGAGGGGCTGCCTTGATTAAAGTCGTAGGTTGCGTTGTAGTATAGTATGCCAAAGCGTTTTTGCTGTATACGAAGAGGAGTAGGGCCGAGGTGAAAACAACGCGTTCACTCTTTATACCATAGAGCTTGCTATCTGCGCGCTATTTCCTCTCCATTTCCGTATATATATAACTGCTCACGATTCGGTCAACCATGAGTCGCCTCGCTTCTCTGGAAACCGACATTCGGGTGTAGAAAAAGTATTCAATGAGTTTAGAAAAGAATACAGTTTTAAACTACGAAGCAACAAGCAGAGCTTTGCTTTGTTCATTATATTTAAAAATGAATTAAAGGAAACTGTGCTTTTTAAAATCACTATCTTTTTCATTTGTTTGATTTTTTTCATAACTCACATTTTTTATTATATTTATTTCACTTTTTACCCTCGACGTGCATACCGTGAGCACAGGTTATCAAACCAAGGTTACATTAAGCATGTTAATTACTTTGAACTCCAAAAATAGATAGACTTCCGTTCTCTTTTCTCCGGTTCATTTCCCATAGTTGTCGTTTTATGTAGAAGGCGGAAGGATGTGATATTATCGTGTTTTTATTTCAGTTGTTCATTAGCTCAGCATCAAACTGTCAAAACGCAATGTTAAGCTTATTTTGGTGCTGATGAAGCTTCCGTCGATTGAAGAAAAACAAGTTATTATCATTTTCTCGACAATTTTGAAAAAATAGAACGTTTTGATATGGAAAATGTGTTACATTTTTTGTCTCGATACTCATCTAAATAGGAGTCGAATCAGTCTCTACATTTAAAGACATACATTAGTTGCATGCACGTTGTTTATAGAAATGTTTAGTGGAATAACAGCTTGTTTATATATTATTCTGCTTTAACTGAACAGTAACTTTGACAGGGACGTTTTTATAAATGTCAGAGAAGTAAAATGGGAATAAGTGCAATAACGGCGATAGGATAACTCTAGACTCATTTTACGTTTTTACTAATTACTTTTTTAAATTCTTGATTCAATAAGTTTATTTATTTATTAAATTCTGACAAAGAACTGCTGCTCAACGGAATAATACAATAAAAAACCATCAGGCCAGGTTGTTAACTTAACTGTTAACTTAATACGGGATTTGATTGAAAGGGTCTTTGTTCTCCTGCCACATATATATTTCCGTTGATCTCAAAACAACTTTCCAATAAAACTGATCATTAGTAAGAAAATGTAACCCTGCCTGAGCGCGGATAAAGTAATCGATGGTAGTTCCACATGTCTCGCCAGAACTTCAGTTGCTGTTACTCTCTCCCTGAGAGGATACACTGTAAATCGAAAAGATCTGTTTCAGCCCTAAAAAAAGGGGCCGTTTCGGAGTGGCTCCCTTAACCAGGGCCAATACAGTCCAATTACTTATAGTCCAATCATTTTGTGGTTGAACCCGGTACCAATTGCAACTGCAGAAGCTTTCTTTTCGCTAATCATTTAGGATTAGACTATAGATAAACATTCTAAAAGATTCAAGCATGGGATCATTACAAAATTTAACCTCTTTTGTTACTGACGAGCATTTTTAGTCCCCTAAGAAGTGGTCCGTGATTTCTTCTTCCCTCTATAGTTTCAACAGGATTTAGGCTACGACAATAAAATTCAGGGAGTAAAAAGCAGACACAGAAGTCTGTAAATTCAAAATGGGTCAAGTCATAATAACGCGGCAACAACATTATTTTTGGACCGCCGCCATCTTGAATTAATGTCAAGGGTAAAATAGAAAGGTTTCAAATCGCCTGAGTTAATATAACCTACGAAACGGGTCTCGGAAGATATTAAGCTGAGTAAATACACGGTAATTAGACAGTTAACTTTGTTAAATCTAAACATTTAGGGTGGCTCGACTGGATTTTTTAGATAAGTGCGAAGTTTGATCATTTACCACGTCAGCATTAACAAAGACATCGGAAGAAAGATGCCACAGCTGTATTGTATAACGATGAAAATTTCTTATGATTCATGTTTCATTGACATCGGCGTTACCATGGTAACGTAATGAAGCATTTTTTTACTTGCTTTTGCATTTCAGGATTTTTGTTCGTAAATTGCTTAAGGGAGCTTGTATGTATACGTAGCTACCTTTGCTGCCTCGATTATGGCAAAGTTTGAACAATTTCTATGATAGCGTTTTGGAAATATTTTAGAACGAAGTCGTAAAAACAGTGAATAACCATGCAATAGACATAATTGGCTAACATTGATATCTAAAGAAAATGATGAGGTCTGGAAAAGCAGTTTTATCTTATACTGGTTTGATTCCATTTGAAATTGTGCAAACTTGAGCTACGAGAAAGAAGAAGTTAATTAGCCTGCGTTAAGTTGCTTTTGTTACCATTTTTGTATGCAATTCGGTCCACGCCTACAAATTTCACTTTAGTTTAGAAACCGCTTGATAGATTTTCAAAAAACTTCAAAATCCCGAGATTAATCATCAATTTTTATTGCCTTCAAATTTCAAGGACATCGAAAACAAGGAAGGCAATTAAATTTAGGTAATTTTGTACAGCGAGTTGACTACGCCGTAATTATAGTAGTTAGTCAACCAGTGTCCTAATTTCAAATTCCGAAAAAACTTCGCTATTCATATCGTTTCCCATCTAAGATCCCGTTTCCGGAGATATTTTGAAAAGGAAGATCCTTTATCTGCTCTTTAGGCTTCCGACCACACGTAGACAGCGTTTTTGGGCACCTAAAACGCGCAGTTTCTTGAAAAACGGTCTCCAGAGTGGAGACTTTGAAAACGCCGGCTTCCCGTTTAAGTGTGGACTGAGGAAAACGGATGTCCTCGAGTACGATAATGTTTACACCATGCTACTAGTATTACGCATGCTCCTTAAGGAATGATCCTTAAGGGAGTTTGCATTGAAAACCACTTAAACGTGACTGGGTGGCACGAGCTGTTTTCCCCATACAAATCCTCCTTATTTTTGGCAGCTATAGCAGTCATCTCTTTTGAGATTAAACCTGAAAACGCATCCAATGTGCTCTTGCTATTTCAGCTAAAATTATTTTTCCAAACGCATTATTCTCGTGTTCTGAGAAAGTTGATCACATGACCATCAACTTTTGCAAAAGGCCTATTCATTCAATTTTGTTGCCGCGTAAATTCTCCTAATGAACTTCCGTTATCTTTTTTTGTGAGCCAACCAAAGCTCTTCATTAAATTCGAAGAGCGCCAAAGATTAGTGAAAAACAAAAAAATAAACAGCAGCACAACGCACATCACAGCACAATGATCATTTAGTGAAAACCGCAATTATAGACGTTGTGTTTTTTTTGAAGAAAACATTGGTAGACGATCCTCTCATTTTGAAAACATGATCGTGTTCGCGGTGATCTATGGCGTAAATGTTTTGCTGGGTTTCATTGGTAACCTCTTGGTTATACTGGTGGTATCTATTTATCGAAGATTTTACCACATGAGATACTTTTTGTTGGCCAGTTTGGCACTTTCTGATTTCTTCTTCACGAATTTGATAACTGCTTTTCGTATGTTGGCCTATGGTATTGGTAAGTGGATTTTTGGTACAGCTTGGTGTTATGGTACAGCGTACTTCGCAAGATTTCTACACCTCAGCACGGTACTTCATCTGTGCGCTGTTTCGTACGAGCGATACGAAGCCATCTTTAAAAATCCTCTAACCTATTACGGCTGCATCACAAAGAAAAGAGCCATAGTAAGCATAACGCTGATGTGGATTATCCCCGCTGGTATCTCTCTTGGCCCCTTTCTCGGATGGAGTGACTATGTGTACAACCCAGCAATAATGGTATGTGAGCAGAAATGGGACATGGTAACAACATTGCCGCTCCTAGCAACAACATTTCTTGTACCGCTTGGAATAATTGTCTTCCTAAACTACAGAGTCCTCAAAGTTGTCAGTAGACTTCAGAGTAGTTTCAAAATAATTCCAGTCACTGTCGTAGAACAACCAGGCACAGGGCATCCTGCAGAGCAAAATGGTCAAAACCAGTCCGAGAAGCAAGGCAAAGTAAAGAGAGAGCGAAACCTGCATTTTTCAGACCTTTTAGCGAGAAACGAGGAAGGCGAAACTGCCAAACCATCCCGCAAACACCATGTAATTAAGCAAGGGAATTTGAAGGGCAGCGTTTATGCAGAAGGAGGGCAAAATCCCGCTTTCCAAGAAGAAATTGAAGAAATTCAAGAGGTGAGGCACCAGCCAGTCTTTGTTCAGAAAAACGAGGGATCATCAGAAAGTCGATGTAGCAGCCCAGTGCAATGGTCGAGAAAAAGCAGTAGACGTAAACCAGCGATGAAAGGCACAGAAAGTATGAAAGAAGGAATTAACTCTATATTGCATTCGACGCATTCGTCATTAAATGACTATCGATCGCCTCAACAAATAGCCAACCAGGAAAAGCAGTCTCACGAGGAAGATGACATTGTGGTATGCATAGTAAATCCACATCAAGGGAAGACTAAAAAAAACCAAACAATGTTAAAAGGAAGCTCAAAAAGTAACATGTCAAAAGAAAACACTGGCGGCCACGACATCTTTCAAGGAACGGAACGGGAAGGCAAACCAGGGTCTCATCAATCAGATACAGAAACGATCGTGCGCCAGCCCCAGGATCGCAAAGCGCCCTCAGCTGAAAATCAAAGAAACCGGCTTGGCAAAACACAGAAGAGACTTGTTAAGTTGCTTAAAGAGGGAAAGGCTGCCAGAGATGTCATAATCGTTATCGGAATATTCCTTCTTTGTTATCTACCTACGTGGGTATCAGCTTGCTATCGTATGTTCGGAGGAGAACAATCTGTAGAGGTAATACTTTCAGCCCATAGTATTTACGCCACCACCATGTTCTGGAATCCTATTATATACTCTATTCGAAAAAACGATTTTAGACAAGCGGTGAGAAGGTTACTAAGGTTATAACAGTTTATGATTTAAAAAAAACAAAAAAAAAAAACATATCAACATCAACTACAACAAAGATAACACAAGGAACATTCGGTTTTCAAAATTCTACAAATGAATAATAATACTTTTTCAGACTTGACGTTCTTAAATATGTAAAACACCAGTAATATGAGCAGAACAAATCAAATAGAACTAAGAATTAAAAATGTCAAATTTGTAATCAAATAATCGAGAACGGAAGCTTCTGCTCCTACGCATATCACCTTGTATGGCAGTTTGAGGAAAAAAGTATTCTTTTCAAGAACAAAACCTTTCATTCCTGTTCACTTTTGTACATAGTATTGTTACGTAAAAGCCGCCAAAATACGATGTTATTGTGTATATATACATATTTCATTCATTAGCGAAGCAATAAAATGTCGAACGAGGGATTAAGTTGATTTTGATTCTGACAAAACGCTCGCCGAAACCATGCTTATGTTTGGTTTCACAGCACGCAAGTAAAACCGCTTGGTTTCACGACACAACTTTGAAGCATACTAAAAGTGTCGATAAGAAAGCAAAGATGTGTTACTGATCATGCCTCTCTCGGGACTCTTTTCAAGGTCACAATTGTTTCAGTTTCCTTGTTATATAAAGGACGTGGTATAATTCATTCTGTCCTGACATAATCATACAATGTCAGTACCGTTTTTTTACATGCTAAACTTATAGCAGTTTCTGATACTAGAAAGTGCACGGCAATGAATAGTGCCTCAGGCCTGAGTAGAAATTTAAAAAGATACGAATAATTGATCTTTTCTGCACAAAAAGCACAAGCATTGAATAAGAGCACATAAAAACGTTCCGCCGTTTTCGGAAGGCCGTTATTTTTTTTCTTTTAGTTTGAATGTTATTGTCATTTTAATTTCTTGTTTCCAATTTGCTTAATTATACATCAACCCCATCCCAACTTGCATCAGGGGCACCCAACGGCAATTTTCGGAAAATATCTGTTCGGAAGACGATTTGAGATCTAGAATTTTTGGAACATTTGTTGTAAAATTTCTGGCTTGCCTGCCTCTCCTAGGATTTTCGAACATCTAAAAAATGGTATAATTGCCCATTTTTAACGGATTTTTACCCTTAAAAGGTCACCTAGAATTTTCGGGAGCCTTTTTCCTGGCTGAAATTTTCGAAAATGTAAGTTTTGATCCCTATAATTTTCGGATCACTAACGGATGACTTTCAGCTAGGAAATCCGAACAGATGAAAAAGTTTTAGGGAGTAAAAATATGCCTATATCTACCGTTTAAATACTAAAGTACGTTTAACAATGCTATGTTTAGGAAGTTTTGAACTATATTCTCGTTGGGTGCCCCTGTTGCATTCCTTTCTTCCTGAGAGACTCTTTAGTTTGTGATATGAAAATTAGCGTATCCGAATTCTAAAAGCAGGCTCCAAATAGGCGGCCACACTCTACTTAGCGGCTAGCAATCAGAGTCCAGGTCGACAAAATTGTCAGTATATCACACTATAAACAGACCGTTTGTCTGTTTCTCGACGATGGCCGGTTAATGGAGCTCGAGGTTTGACAGTATTCAGGTTATGAACTGAACAATGAAAAATGACTTCAAAATTAAATTCATGGTGGCTTACTTAGATTTGGGAAAAAGGCTTTTTCGCGTAAAAATAATTGGGTAAAATATTGTTTACACGCAAGTTTACCTGGCAAGAACCTGGTTTTTAAGAACCTGTTAGGCTAAAATTTGCCAGTTAAGCCCCCTCTACGCAAGAACCTGTTTAACCTAAAATTTGGAACAGGTTTTTACTTTCCAAAATCTCTACAAAAATTCTTTGCAATTGGGAAAATAAGATAAGTCAACATTCAGGATCCTCTTTGAAGACATAGCTGTCTTATCACTTCAACTGCAGTACTTATGTAGTATGCAGATTTTATATAGGGAATAAGATGAATACCAATAATACTCTTAGCTTCAATGTATTTGTTTCTTCAGAAAATAAAAACCTATTTAAGAACCTACATGGCCTAAATTTGTGCTAATTAACATTTATCTAAGAACCTGTTAAGGCTACATTGGGAAAATGCAGGTTCTTCGTAGACGCGTGTTTTAATGTATTTTAATGTATTTCTTTTTTTATTCTCCACAAATTTAGAAATACATTAATCATTGTCGATTTTACTTTAAAACGATTGAGGGAGCGAAAAAACCGCCCCCAAAAACTCAACATGGCATCATCGATTTGTTGTTTGTTTGTTGAAAACCAAAGGCCATGCCATACTGACCATACTCCCTCAGGGCAGAACATCTGCTTTAGTTTTGCAACTGCACTGATTTTTACACACAAAAAAACGCTAATTGCATGAGGCACTACAAAAGACGTTGGTTCTATGTTCATTAGTTCAAGTTTAACTGATTCAAATTTATTAATTAACGTTTGTTTAGATTATGTCCGTGTACAACCTGCTCTAGGCTCAAAAAGCATACAGCAAATCAAGGCGGAAAGGAATGAAAATTGAGGGTTACGATAACCTTGATTGAACAGAAAAAGTCAAGGACGACATATCTACGAACGTCATAACGTAAACAAGATATTGGGGAAAAACAACAAAATAATTAAACCAAAGATAATATGCAATAAGTGGATAGATTTATAATATTAAATGTATAAAAACTGAAAATTTGATTTTTAGTATATACTTAACCAAAAACAAAAACAAACAAACCAAAAAATTAAAGAACGAGAAAATATACAAAAATATAAGAGCAAAAACACAACAACAACAAGAAAATACGCAAAGCAATTCGTTTTGGCACACTTTTTATATTAAATTCATTACCAAAAATCTATTGTGATAATAAAAAACTACAATAAATAAAGGATAAATAACCACAATAAATACTCCTGATATTACAGAGTTGTTGTGAATTTTAAACCAGTTAAGGGATTGACGCCACTATAGATATTTAGATAATCTAAAAACTTTGAATTGAAATTTACCGAACTTTAAATATCATTTAAATTTCTTTGGTTCAGATAATGAATTAAAAGACTTACATTCACATATTACCGGCATTAAGCTCTATAAATATGTAATTCATAAATACAGAATGGTCAGATATTATAAATTATAACTTACGCTTCCTAGTCCACCGTCATTTCTCAATTATGAGGGTAGGTTGTAAGTGGGATATTTAAAACGAGACAGTGTTTCATCAAATACTCAAACACAGATGAAAAATTGGTAAGAAAACAAACAAGCAAACACGCAAAAAATAAAACGAGTCAGCTAATGAGTCAAGTAGGCTAAAAAGACCAAAATTTTGCCTATTTATCAACCGACTATCGGGTTGAAACACTCTTTTGAGAGTTTAATATAGCTTTTTAAATGATCAATAATTCTGCTTCTATCATTATAACTATTTGATCCGTTATCCCTACTTCATTCATGGCATTTAATTGATTTCTCTCGTTTCCTCTTAATGAGTAATTAAAGACCTTCACAGCGGTAAAAGACAACGACGGTCCATCTTCTAACAATGACAATTCCTCTAAACCTGATTTGTGCAGAAATGAGACAGGAATGGTAAGGTAAACAACCACAAAAACTTTGATATGTTTTCGACCGACTATACTTCCTTTAATCTCTTCACTTAGAGTCTAAAGAAATTAAAAAAAAAAAACAAAAGTAAAAAAAAATAGAAAACAAACAAATCGATACGGCACAGCTACAGACGAATCCTCTTTTACATTTTTGGCGTCATTAGCATAGGCTTCTCAAAATTTGATGAATTTAATCACACGAAATTTCTGAATATTGAAAGAGCATAACAATTTCAGTTATCTCTGAACATTTGAGCCCGATATACCAAATAGTTTGGGAGAAATTCCCTTTGAAAAACCCCAGAATTTACAAAGAATATATGAGCTCATTAATCTTTTGCCAACCAGTAATTTTGCAGTTTTTAATGCTGCTATTTTCTTTGTTACTGATTGCAAAGAGCTGAAATTTGCACAAACTGCATAATCTAACCAGCTCTTTTAATTTTTGAACCTAATTTGTATTTACGGCTACATCCTCTATAGGTTACCTCTTATGCTAATGAGCAAAAATTTAAACAATGACATTACGAGGGAAAAACCTAATATCTAAAATGTAAGAAACAGCGGAGCTTCTCAAATTTCATTGATTTTTAGTTTTAGTTAAAAGACACTTAGTAAACCAAACAAAAAACTGTTTGCTTGACAGTTTGTCCATTTAACACTACCGATATTTGTTTTTTAATTCTGATTCCCAGTCATTAACCCGTACACAAACACAAACACAAACACAAACACAGACAATCCTAATCCGGCCGTCCACACTAATAAACACGCCTACATTTTGGTGCATTTTGGCCTCGCGTCCACACTGAAACGATCAAAAACGGAGGATTTTGAAAATAGAGCAATGCGATATCGGACCTTTTCAAAAGGCTAAGGAAACTTTTGAAATCAGACATCTGTTTATCAACAGTGCTGTGTTCATGGCTTCTCATATATACATGGGAGAAAATGGCCTAATAGATAAAGAGTGAGTCACAAATATTCCAATTTGTTAAATTATGGGATTTGTTGGCAAATTCAAGCCCCCTTGCCAAAAATCACCGTGTTAGTGCAAATGGGTGGGGAGATACAAATACCTGTTTGCTCTGACGGCACCAAACATATCGTTCTAATATGGATTGGACCATAACGTTAACTGGCCCATTTTATTGAGATTTTTATGGAGTCATCGAAGCATAACGGTGCTTACATCTCCCCACCAATTTGCACCACAGGTTCATTTTTAGCAAATAAATATTTTTAACCTTTTTCTTTCTGGACATGCCAACTAATCCCATAATTTCATTGATTTAGTTTTTGTGACGTCATCATTTCGTTTCTCTACAACCGCGCTTATTCAATGCATAACAGCTCGCAATACAGTCGTCAAAGCATTCACAGAAATATAGTGTATGCTGCCTTGACAA